TAAAAGAAAAATTGTCTTGCACCCTTTTTCTTTATTTTTACATTCAGAATGCTTAAAAATTTCATTTACAAGACAATTGTTTATAATAAAATTCTATTCAATCGGTAGACTCATAACGATTGAAAACAATGTTTTTGTTTGAGTTTAGGTTTGACCAATTCGTAAAAAAACAAAACAAAAAAACAAAAACGAACAAAAAACAAAAAAAAAATAATTAAGACGTGCGTGTCCGTCAACCTTAAACAATAATCTTTGTCAATTTTATTTTTCAGTCTTTATGATGGTCGATACTTGATCTATCTCTTAATGTTACATCCCAGGCAACGCATTGCTCTACTACTAGTATATATATATATATATATATATATATATATATATATATATATATATATATATGCATGCATATTTCAGTTTTGACAGTTTATACCGTCACTTTGGGTGAGTTGAAATTGATTCCATCAAACATGAGATCGCTGAAAATTGAAAACTACACACTGAACAATACTTAAGTACGAATGGACTTACATTCCCAAGTACCCGGGAGAAAAATAATATAAAATAAGCCTAATATGAATTTCGGAAAAATTACCGATAAAACAAAACAACTCATTCGGAAATTAGAAAGATTTAATAAAAAAAAATGATAGAAATTTTCCATATTATTTAACGAAAAATGTTTGTTAGAATTCTTCTGAAATAACGTTATATATATATATATATATATATATATATATATATATATATATATATATATATAAAGAAATTTAGTCTTAAGATGTGCTATATTTATGGGATAAAGTGCTCAATATCAGAGATAGAGCGTGTGTAAATATAAAAGTGAACATTGAAGTCAACACTTAGAGTCGTTAGGCCTGATTATGCACCACTGACCCGTATATATAAATAGCCATGAAAAAAAGACAGCACTCGTGGCCTGACGATTGCTTCTCGGATGAAAAACAGTCTGTCGCCTCGAAGTGTTGACTTCCACGTTCACTTTTTATATATGTGTATGTATATAAATAAAAATGAAATTATATATATATACAAACATATATATATATATATATATATATATACATATATATTGATGAAAAATATAGAAATATATATATAAAAAAAATATAGAAACGAAATTATAGATGATATATATATATACAGACATACTGATGAAATATATATATATATATATATATATATATATGTGTGTGTGTGTGTGTGTGTGTGTGTGTGTGTGTGTGTGTGTGTGTGTACTAATGAAAAATATAGAAATTAAATTTATTTTATCGTCAAATACTATTATTAACGAGCAAAATGATTTTTTAGGTAATTTTTTTTTTTTAAATCCCTTGTCGAATCTTAGAAATTTTGGTTAAAAATCATATTTCTCTGTCGTCAACCAGGGATGATAAATTAGCATGAGAGATTTTAGCAGCGAAAAAATACACTGATTTGTAAATTCTTGCAAGAATCAAACAATTGTCGGATTTTAATAAAACTTTCAGGACTTATTCACAGTACAACCAGAAATAATCTTTTGGTAAACATTGATCTTCGTACACGCAAGAAAAAAAATCGAGTGTAAAAAAAGACATTTTTTTTTCATGACACCATATTTATTTTAACTACCTTCACTCCTCGGCAATGTATATTGCTTTAAAAAGTGACTATTAGATTGTAATAAAACCTAAACATATGAAAGTGAATATATTTATTTTCTTCTTGAGAATCGATAACAAAATAACAAAACTTTTTTCTCTCACCATTGCTCAGTTCGGAAGACATAGTGGGGGTGACACAAAATATTTTTTACCTGTTCTCTTTCTAGCTGAATAACTCAAACGGTTTTTCAGTAAATCTTACAGCAAATGGTGCCAAGATGGCTAAACGGCTTTCTGAAAACCTGGAAAAAAGAAACTCATTTCGTTTAGTGTTTTTTTTTTTTAGATATTAAACATCAATTTAAATAATTGGAAATTGTTTTGACAGACGACGGAAAGTACCACACTTAAATTCTAAGGCGAATTAGGAGCGCGAAAGATGTTTTCCAAAAGTTAAACAAATTATTAAGAAACAGGAAAATCACGTTAGAAACAATGAAAACAGATCTGAACTCTTATAAAACACTAGTCCTCCTATATGGCAGTGAATGCTAAACAATCTCCTCATAGAAAGAAATGTGGTTCTACAGAAGGATGATGAGGATACCATGGGTAGAACATGTGAGCAACGACGAGGTTTTAGAGAAAATGGGAACAAAAAGAAAACTTATACCTATCATCAGGAAGAGTCAGTTGAAATTTCTATGGCGCATAATGAGGAAGGAGGGCTTGGAAAATGTAATACGCACAGGAAAGATTAAAGACGACTTGGATAGAGGTAAACTATGCATAACATAGCTAGAGAGCTTGAATAAATGGATGACGGCACAAGGTTTAGGAGAGATAACAAAAAGACAATATTTATTAAGAGCTACATAGGAAAGGAAATTGTGGAGAGCCATGATCACTAACCTCCTGAATGGACACGCCACATAAAAGTAGTTCATCTTTTTTAAGTGAAATGATTTATAAAATAAAAAAGAGGCTCTTTACATCGTCAGAAGAAAATAATCCAAAGTGTCTTATAATTCTGTTTGCCCCTTCTTTAGTTCCTTAATTCGTTCGCACGACCTCTACGCCCTGCTGATACCTCATATATAATGGACTAATCCATTTTGATCGCGTAGAAAGATGGAAAAGACATATCAGAGGCAATATTTGGTGTCGGTGAGACAATCAAAGAAGGGATGATAAAAGAAGCAATAATACAATTATGCATTTAACGCCTGCTTCAGTGGAATGGAAATGTTCTCACTTGTAAATAAACACCAGTATTCACATTTATGATTGTTACCGTAATATTTTGTTAGATTGTTAGGCTCAAATATTAAACGATGCAATAGGGGGATTTCTACGGATATTTTATTGTTGTAGAACTCGCCATGGGCTTATTCAATCTTTAACTAAGATTCATCTGAATATGAAAAAAGGAAAAAAAAACGTGAAATATTCACGGGTATTTCTAGTAATTGTATAATGCATGTCATTTCGTCTCAAGGCAGGTTTCAACATGTTCCCGTTAACATCAATGAACTTTGATACCAAGTTGTCTAAACATTAGAATTGCTTTCTCATTCAAACAAATTTAATCGACACTTTGTATTTCCTTTGTTTCTTTGTTAGAAGCTGTCACAATTTATCTGGTTTCGGAACATTTACTTAACATCGATCATCTGGTTATAGATTAAAAAGAATTGGGGATTAACTTTTCTTTTCCTAGGCTTAGTCTTTTGTTTTGTATTTTAAGCCTTTTTCAGTACAGTGTAACCCGGATTATCGGGACCGGGGAAGAAGTCTCTTATATCCGGGTTTCTCTTATATCCGGGTTTGGTCTATTTTGTTTAGGTAAGTATGGCTCTAATTTGGGATCAGTGAAAATCTCTCTTATATCCGGGTTTCTCTTATATCCGGGTCTCTTATATCCGGGTTACACTGTATCTTATTTTTTCAAATTTTAAAAGTTTTTTTTTTTTAATATCTTCTTCCCTACCATTACTTTCCATTTTGATATTTTTTTGTTTTCCTCTTAATTTTTAAAATAATTTCATCCATATGAAGGCAATAAAGCCGCTAAGATGTAAGGGGTTATTGAGTGTCAGAGATTCTGTGAAAAGAATACTATTAAGAAGATAAAACAATAAAAGAAAAATAATTACGATGACAGAAGATAACGACTGATATACCATTTAAATTTTTGGAGAGCGAAGACGACCGGAAAGCGAGAATCCGGAAGAAAGTTCAACAAGAGAATGTGTGAGAGAAGAAACTGTTAACATAGAACTTACGGTTACATCTAGACATTACTTAACTGTTAATATAAAACGTATGAAGAAATTTCTAAGTTGGATCCCCGCATACTTTGTAAGGTCTCAGTCTACAGATGATACAAGAGGTCGTTACAACGTTATCGGCCAAACCTGGTTGTTTAAATCCTAGATTATTTTAAGGGTTTTTGATCGATCCGGTACCTTTCTCACACGCCATCTTAAATTATTTCAACAATTCTTTCTTTCTGCTTGGTTGTAAATACTTCGTTTTCTAGATTAAATATGGTTTTGTTTGGTTTTGTTGAACGAATAATAATTACTCGTGGAATTAATTCTTCCATCAATTCTTGATTACTAGCAATACATTCCTCGTTTGTATTCAGTGGATTACCGTACTAAATAATTATAATTGCATTTGCATCAAACATAGGAAAGTGAGAAGAAAGGTCGAAACATTAATTATAAGAAGAACGAATGTATGACTGCCAGTCAAATGAACAGAACAAGATGCGAACTACGAGATGTGGACACCAAAAACAAGCAAGTTGGAACGTTTAAAGACTCAGGTTGTAGCTGAACGGAAAGTATGGAAAATGTGAGACTGAATATCTGAAGGCACATTGTTATAGCGATAAATGCCTTCCAAATACCTATGCAAGCTATTAAGAAACAGGAGAGTTTTGTTGAAATAAAGAACAGTGTGAGGGAATGTTATGTAATATCGATGAAAGCCGGGCAATCTCCTCACAAATGAAGAAGAGATTTGAGGCAAAAGAATCACGGTTCAGCAGAAACATTTTTAAGAATACCGCGGACTTAACATGCGCACAACGAGGAAGTTTTAAGGAAAATGGAAATAAAAAAGAACACTTCTACTTAGAATCAGAAAGTGACAGTTGAAATTTTTTGGGAACATAATAAGAGGGATTAGAGAACTTGACACTGACAGAAGATCTTAAAGGTACGAGATATAGATGTTAAAGGTACGAGGTACATATTTTGAAGGCACGAGAGACAGATGGTGAATCATAGGGTACAGAGGATTTTGAAGGCACGAGAGACGGAAGATGTAGAAGGCACGAGGGACAGATGTTGAAGACACAGGGGACAAAAGATGTGGAAGGCACGAGGGTCAGATGTTGAAGACACGGGAGACAAAAGATGTGGAAGGCACGAGGGACAGATGTTGAAGACACGAGGGACAAAAGATGTGGAAGGCACGAGGGACAGATGTTGAAGACACGGGAGACAAAAGATGTGGAAGGCACGAGGGACAGATGTTGAAGACACGGGAGACGAAAGATGTGGAAGGCACGAGGGAGAGATGTTGAAGACACGGGAACAAAAGATGTGGAAGGCACGAGGGAGAGATGTTGAAAGCACGAGGACAGATGTTGAAGACACGGGAGACAAAAGATGTGGAAGGCACGAGGGACAGATGTTGAAGACACGGGAGACGAAAGATGTGGAAGGCACGAGGGAGAGATGTTGAAGACACGGGGAACAAAAGATGTGGAAGGCACGAGGGAGAGATGTTGAAAGCACGAGGGACAGATGTTGAAGACACGGGAGACAAAAGATGTGGAAGGCACGAGGGACAGATGTTGAAGACACGGGAGACAAAAGATGTGGAAGGCTCGAGGGACAGATGTTGAAGACACGGGGAACAAAAGATGTGGAAGGTACGAGGGACAGATGTTGAAAGCACGAGGGACAGATGTTGAAGACACGGGAGACAAAAGATGTGGAAGGCACGAGGACAGATGTTGAAGACACGAGGGACAGATGTTGAAGACACGGGAGACAAAAAAAAATGTGGAAGGCACGAGGGACAGATGTTGAAGACACGGGACACAAAAAAAGATGTGGAAGGCACGAGGACAGATGTTGAAAGCACGAGGGACAGATGTTGAAGACACGAGACAGAAGATGTGGAAGGCACGAGGACAGATGTTGAAGACACAGGAGACAAAAGATGTGGAAGGGGTGACAAAAAAATGTGGAAGGGAGGGACAGATGTTGAAGACACGGGGACAAAAGATGTGGAAGTCACGAGGGACAGATGTTGAAGACACGGAGACAAAAATGTGGAAGGCTGAGGACAGATGTTGAAGACACGGGGAACAAAAAGATGTGGAAGAATTACGAGGGACAGATTTTTGAAAGCACGAGGGACAGATGTTGAAGACACGGGAACAAAAAGATGTGGAAGGCACGAGGGACAGATGTTGAGGACGTGAGACAAAAGATGTGGAAGGCAAAACAGATGTTGAAGACAGGACAAAAGATGTGGAAGGCTCGAGGACAGATGTTGAGGACACGGAGACAAAAAAATGTGGAAGGCACGAGGAGAGATGTTGAAGACACGGGTGACAAAAAGATGTGGAAGGCTCGAGGACAGATGTTGAAGACGCGGGGACAAAAAGATGTGGAAGGCACGGGACAAATGTTGAAGACACGAGGGACAAAAGATGTGGAAGGCACGAGGGACAGATGTTGAAGACACGGGAGACAAAAGATGTGGAAGGCACGAGGGACAGATGTTGAAGACACGGGAGACAAAAGATGTGGAAGGCACGAGGGAGATGTTGAAGACACAGGGAACAAAAGGAAGTCACGAGGGAGATGTTGGACGAGGGACAGATGTTGAAGACACGGGAGACAAAAAAAGATGTGGAAGGCACGAGGGACAGATGTTGAAGACACGGGAGACAAAAAAGATGTGGAAGGCTCGAGGGACAGATGTTGAAGACACGGAGACAAAAAGATGTGGAGGCACGAGGGACAGATGTTGAAGACACGAGGGACAGATGTTGAAGACACGGGAGACAAAAGATGTGGAAGGCACGAGGGACAGATGTTGAAGACACGGGAGACAAAAAAAAAGATGTGGAAGGCACGAGGGACAGATGTTGAAAGGAGGACAGATGTTGAAGACACGGGAGACAAAAGATGTGGAAGGCACGAGGGACAGATGTTGAAGACACGGGAGACAAAAGATGTGGAAGGCACGAGGGACAGATGTTGAAGACACGGGAGACAAAAGATGTGGAAGGCACGAGGGACAGATGTTGAAGACACGGGGAACAAAAGATGTGGAAGGTACGAGGGACAGATTTTGAAAGCACGAGGGACAGATGTTGAAGACACAAAGACAAAAATGTGGAAGGCACGAGGGACAGATGTTGAAGACACGGGAGACAAAAGATGTGGAAGGCACGAGGGACAGATGTTGAAGACACGGGGACAAAAAGATGTGGAAGGCACGAGGGACAGATGTTGAAGACACGGGAGACAAAAAAATGTGAAGGCACGAGGGACAGATGTTGAAAGACACGGGAGACAAAATGTGGAAGGCGCGAGGGGAGAGATGTTGAAGGCACGGGGAACAAAAAGATGTGGAAGACACGAGGGACAGATGTTGACAGCACGAGGGACAGATGTTGAAGACACGGGAGACAAAAAAGATGTGAGGCACGAGGGACATGTTGAAGACACAGGGAGACAAAACGATGTGGAAGGCACGAGGACAGATGTTGAAGACACGGGTGACAAAAGATGGAAGGCACGAGGACAGATGTTGAAGACACAGGAGACAAAATGTTGGAAGGCACAGGGACAGATGTTGAAGACACGGGACAAAAGATGTGGAAGGCACGAGGGACAGATGTTGAAGACACGGGATACAAAAAAAGATGTGGAAGGCACGAGGGACAAATGTTGAAGACACGGGAGACAAAAAATGTGGAAGGCACGAGGGAGAGATGTTGAAGACACGGGGAACAAAAAATGTGGAAGGCACGAGGACAGATTTTGAAGGGACAGATGTTGAAGACACGGAGACAAAAGATGTGGAAGGCACGAGGGACAGATGTTGAAGACACAGGAACAAAAGATGTGGAAGGCACGAGGGACAGATGTTGAAGACACAGGGAGACAAAAGATGTGGAAGGCACGAGGGACAGATGTTGAAGACACGGAGACAAAAAGATGTGAAGGCACGAGGGATAGATGTTGAAGACACGAGGGACCAAAGATGTGGAAGGCACGAGGGAGATGTTGAAGACACGGGAGACAAAAAGATGTGGAAGGCACGAGGGACAAATGTTGAAGACACGGGAGACAAAAAGATGGAAAGGCACGAGGGAGAGATGTTGAAGACACGGGGAACAAAAGATGTGGAAGGCACGAGGACAGATTTTGAAAGCAGAGGGACAGATGTGGAAGACACGGGAGACAAAAAGATGTGGAAGGCAGGGACAGATGTTGAAGGGGGACAAAAAAGATGTGGAAGACGAGGACAGATGTTGAAGACAACAAAAGATGTGGAAGGCACGAGGGACAGATGTTGAAGACACGGGGACAAAAAAATGTGGAAGGCACGAGGATAGATGTTGAAGACACGGAGACAAAAAA